TGCCACAGGGTACGATCTGACTTAGAACACAAACAAGATACAGTGAAACCATAAGATTTGAGCACCGAACTCTCTCTAATGGTTGACTTTAACGTCCTTCGATGCATATATATATATATAAATAAATAAAGAGAGAGAGAGAGAGAGAGAGAGACGGGGGTGGGGGGGAGTTATCGATCACAGGTGAAGGAGGAGACAGCAGGAAGAAAGGAAGCACAGCAGAGGTGGTTTAGAGGATAGAGCACGGGTTGGGTTCATCGTACCACACCACCACAGCCTTGCAAGCGGTGCAGCAGGAAGGCAAAGGCTTGCTTGGTTCCTTCTTGTCGTCCTCCTTCTCGTCCTTCTTCTCGTCCTTCTTCTCCTTGTCGGGTTCTCCGACGCTGACGACCTGCGCAGGCCGATTCTTCTTCCTCAGGGCCTTGACGATGAGCACCACGTCGACGTCCCCCACCACCGTCGCCGTGCTCTTCTCCGCGTCCATCGTTATCGACACCACCCCTGCATGCGGTCAGATTATACGTAAGACAGGATCAAACGCAGCACGCATGAAGACGGATCGGAAACCCATTCCTCCTCCACTGCCCACCATGGAATTTGGAGATGATGGTCATGATGCAGCTCTTGCACTTGCCGCACATGATGCTGACCTTCAACACGATCTTCTGCAGCAATCGGAAAGCCACAACAAATCACAACCATAATCATATGATCGACATGGAAGCCTAAGATTGCTTCGGCCACCAGTTTACCTTCATGATGACACCGCGAACGCTGCAAGATGCAAGACCAGTAGTGCTGTTCCCAATTCCCCAAACCAAGTCGAAGCTTATATATAGCCAAGCTGCATGTGCTACTACTTGTTCTATGTATGTATAAAATGATCAATTCAATATTGAATGATTGCTAATGTCAATTCAATGTTGAATAATCGTCCCCACTCATCAATATCAAATGATCCATTGCAGCTTCGTGTGAACTGCTACGAGTCAAAAGCTGCGTGCTAACGAAAATAGACGCCACAAAGCACAATAGTTATGACGTCGAAAACCTTCCTCACACAAGTAAGACACACAAAATACCATCATCTCTTAGTCAATGTGTTTCTTTTTGCACCACAATAGCAAAATTCCTATAGCTACGTCAAGATTTATTCCTAAGGTGATGTTCTTATTGATTTGATAGTCGTAGATTAATATCTACATGTTACTGAGGTAACTCAGCTGCAGCAATAGATGTCTCAAAAGGAACCCAAGCAGACTTTATTTGGATGAATTAAGAACGATTGCAAACGGAAATATAAGTGGATGAGGGTAATAACGGCGATAAGACTCGGGTTGACGTCAGTTGCCCCAGATGACGCTTCGGTCGACCTGACACCACCTGGTCGAACGGATCGGAACGTCGACTGAGGCACATTAAACATCCTGCTCGGGCTCGGTCCTTCACGCCATGCCAACACCAATGTCAGACGCTACCAGGAGTATGAGCCTGCCCCCTGCAAGTGGGCACATAAGGAAACAGTAATTTTCTCTATAAATTCCCTCACGTTCTAAACGAGAAGGAGGAAAAAAGGAAGGAGGTAACACACACAAAAAAGATCTCTTCACTTCATCTAACTTGATCGTCGGAGGGGTCGGGTCGAGCTCTCTCGACCCGACCTATGTGCAGGTGCGAAGACGGAGGCCTCCCGCTAGACGCCCAGGCGAGGAGCCCCCTCTCGGAGGGAACGGTGACCCTGTCCCGATCGGACCATCGCAGCCAGCCACCTCAACGGTCTCAAGGAACGTCCCAGGAAGATCCCATCATCAGGACCCGAACCAAGCCGCGTCGACCCCGAGACCACAGCTTAAAGTTGTTTACACCAACAATACTAATACTATAGACGATGAGATCGATCGAAGTCAACGATCCTTCATCTTCGAATTATCAACCCATATCATTTTGCCTCAGTCGACCGCTTAACCTAAACTAACCCAAACTCGAAATCCTAATTTAATGCAACAACATTATATTAACATAAGAAAACATTTGTCGTTCTCATTGCCGTCCGCATGAATTGCTTCGAACACATGGGAGAAGTTCTTCTCACACACGCACGTTGAATCATGACTGGCTTCAGTTGATGTGCTCGTCTCTCCTACCGGAGAACAGATCACAATCAGATGGTGGATAATACAAACTTTAGTGTCTCGTATGCATCACGAAGGCGGCTATGTGATTAAGAAATGTACGTATGTATATATATATATATATATATATATATATATATATATATAGGTGAAATTATTTGGATGATCCTCCGATTCTACTTGTCGATTCATGTCGATGAACAAACGTCTACTCGCGTCAAACTAGTCTTCGTTCAATGTAATGTTCAAATCCTTTAGCTGTCCATCACAATCACAAGCAGGTGAACAGTCATCAAGAATCATAAACTTCCATGCAGCACCCTGATCGAACAGTATCTATCGAATACAAGACTTCCAAGGAAGACTGATTGGTTAATCAATTTCACTAAATATTCTAAATCTATTGAACTATAGAGGGGAGAATAACTATGATATAATATCTTTAAATTTTGATTTATACAGGTTTTGTTCATATTAATTTGGATAATAATTGAATTGGCATATGGATGGATGGATGGATGGATGGATAATCCTAAGTTTCTTGTTTCAAAAAAATAAGTTGATTAGGAATTTGTCAATTCCATGGGATGATGAGCAGTAAATCTGACACAAGATTTTGAGGATCGAATCTGAAATAGCAGCCAAAATAAGGAGATGCGGGAGAGATGTTAAATTTGAAATGATGCTTCCTCCACAGTTCCTTTACTTGACTTTATCTTAGATTAATCTTTTGAAGCTGTACTAAGTTTCTTCTTATATCCAACTAATATTGACCATCGGCTGGTCTTCTCTCTAAAAGAACACCAGCGAATCTTTTGACCATTCTACTACTGTTCGAATGCATGTTTCCAACTGGCATTTGGTGTCATCTGTGAGAGCAAAAGAGTCTTACGGCCACTGAGTCGAGAAGATCTTCCGCGAATCTAAAAGGTTGTGGTTGTAAGGCCTTCTTATCGGTCACATAATGCACGTATCCAATTGGCATTTGGTGTCATAAGGGAAGATCTTACTCGAATCCAAAAGGATGTGGGTTTATGGCTTTTTTAATGTGATCGTCCAAATGATGGATGAGCAGTGAGTACGGATGTTGAAAGAGATGGGAACCGAACAATCAAGATTCAAATCGGATTAAATTTTTAAGAAATGATTCGATTAAAGTAAGATACTCTGAATCGAAATTATTTTTCATCTATCTAATTAAATCGGTTGAAAATTAGATTAATCGATTTTTTATTTTAAATTATATATATATATACATATATATATATATACATATATATATATATATATATATATATATATATTAAATGAATGGATTTAGTTTAATTGAACTAAGTCAGAATTTTTTCTAATTGGATCTATATTTTTTTTAAAAAAATATAACACAAATATTATTTTAAATATTTTAAATAATTAAATTTAAAATATTAAATGATTACTAAATTATGTTTGAAGAACGATTCAAATAGGAATCAAATCAAGTCAATAGTTGTTTGAAACAAATTAAAGTGGAGGGTACATGGGGTTTCAAACCAACTAAATATGAAAAAAAAACACTAGATTTCTTAGTATAATGATTAACATTTTAGATTTAAAGTCAAATGACCAAAGTTTTAAATCTTGATGGACTATTTTTATTTTTTATTTTATCAATCGAAAAGTGATGGATCTAATAGGAATCAAAATCGATGGTTCCACAACCCAATTACGATCACTCTAACGAGGAACAAGATAAAAGATATAAAATATGATAATATTTAAATAAAATTTTATTTTATCCTTTATCAAAATTATATATAAATATTCGATGATATACTTTTTTTCTTTTATCTTTCATATCCATTCTATAGAATTATTTCAATATTCTCATCTCAGCTATACAAACTTCTATACTGATTATATTATATATATATATATATATATATATATATATATATATATATATATATATAATAATCGGAGTATATTCAGATTGTTAAATAGTTGTCAGCAAGCATTCTACATGTTGTCGTTCCTATCCAACACTATCCAACATGCGGTGTGACACAACCGACTCCTATCAAGTCGGGTTCGGACCATATCCAAGTAATGCCCAAATCTCTACAGTGTTTCTTTAAAAAATATAAATTTATACTTTTAGAGGACATTTATTATGTCTTTTCATTATAAAGATGAAATATTCGTTTAAAAGATAAAATATCAAAATTAAATTGGTCGATGCAATTTTATCTATCTTTACAAGAGGGAAGCAACTTTCATTAATTACCAAGAAAGAAGAAGAAGAGAGCTTACTATGACACCATGACTTCACCTTCTTTCAGGTCCTAAACATAAGGACCTAAGTAAGAATCACACGTGTGTGTAAACTAAGAAGCCACCAAAGCTTGTTGGGTCGATCAGTTCATTAGCAAGTGAGTTGCTATGCTACCTGTGGTTTACTCAACATGGTGGTTTGGGATTGGAAGAGAACTTGTGATCCATCCATATGTTGATGCCATGCATGGTTGCTTTCTCCCCTCTCTGCCCTCCTACAATACACTAAGCTAAACTTACAAGCCAAGAACCAAATCTCATATCAGCTCTCCTCCATCTGCTTAATACTGCAAGTTATTACCTAATGGCTGGTGCTATTTTCCATCTGAAGATGAGATCCCTTACAAGCTAACACAGAGAGAGAGAGAGAGAGAGAGAGATTCATATTTATGTTCATTATTTATTCATGCCAATGCCACGTATACTGCTGCTTTCTTACCTCTGTCCATGTTTCTTGGCTTGTGGAGGACCATTTCATGCCTTCGTTCTTCAGTATCACATCACACCTTCCCCTCTTATAAATACCATCATCTCTCTCTCTCTCTCTCTGTGTCTCCTTCTCGGCCAACAAGACAAGTCTTCAACAGCGGCAGCAGCAGCAGCAAGCTGGTGGCATGGGCAAGTCTTCCCTCCTCGCATGCTTCTCCCTCTTCCTCGTTCTTCCTCCCTGCCTCGCTGCGGACCCTGACCTGCTCCAAGACATCTGCGTAGCAGATCTCAGCTCGAGTAACAAACACTTCACTCCCCTCTGTTTCAGTGGATGATGATGTCTTGCGTCCCATCGAACGAGATTGTATTCGTGCTCTCGAACGCTGACTTGTGTTGCAGACGTCAAGTTAAATGGCTTCGCGTGCAAGCCAGCCGCGAGCATCACAGAGGCGGACTTCTTCTTCAGAGGCCTGGCCGTGCCCGGCGACACCACCAACACTACCACGGGCTACCTCGTGACCGCTGCCAACGTCGAGAAGATCCCCGGGCTCAACACCCTCGGCGTGTCCTTCTCTCGCGTCGACTTCGCTCCCGGCGGGCTGAACCCGCCCCACACCCACCCGCGCGCCACCGAGATCGTCTTCGTCCTCGACGGCACCCTCGACGTCGGCTTCCTCACCACCGCCAACAAGATGGTGGCCAAGACCATCACCAAGGGCGACGTCTTCGTCTTTCCCCGCGGGCTAGTCCACTTCCAGAAGAACAGCGGTGCGGTTCCCGCCGCCAGCATCTCTGCCTTCAACAGCCAGCTCCCCGGCACCCAGTCCATTGCCACCACACTCTTTGCGGCCAGTCCGCCGGTGCCCGACCATGTCCTCACCGAGGCCTTCCAAATCGGAACCAAGGAGGTGGAAAAGATCAAGAGCCGCCTTGCACCCAAGAAAGCAGCAGAAGAGGCGGTCAACTGAGTCTACTGTCTTTAATTACTGGAATGTGGTCGGCGGCATAACGTTTGTTCATTGTTCATTCAATCATTAGCTAAATAAGATTTGCAGCAGCTCTGAAGCAATGATTCCATCTCAAATGCAAGAGGGATCACCAAAACAAACACTAATGAGCCATTCATTCCATGTCTCCTATTCTGGAAATTCAAAAGGATTTCCTATAAATTCCACCAGCACACAAGAACAGAGCTGATAAAGACAACAATCATGGTAGACTTTTACTTCAAATGGGGGCTTTACTCAGGTCCATAGTAATCATATCATCACTAAGCCATCAAATAAAATGGGTGATACCTTTATGCATGCCCCAGAAGAGAGACAGATATCTGATAAAAAGGTCTGCTTTTGCTGAGACTGAGAGGATCCTCTACCACCACAATTTTTCATGCATGACTTGAGCATTTGGTTCTCTGATTTGTATCAGTTCATCCCCAGATTGCATCAACCAGTAAAGAGGGAAACTTGAGTTTTCTGTGAGAGGTTTTTCCTTCAATATATAATAGGATGAGTGTTTTGTCTTCCAACAATTTGTTTGATCATTCTAAGCTTCCATATAATAACTATAAAATTTTCTTTCTTTAAAAGAATATATATACATTTATGGTGATTCTATCAAAACCATAAAAATGCTGCCATCATACTTCTCATGGAGTATCATTTCTAAGTCACCTAAAACACAATAAACTTGGATTCGATTAACTACCATTGCAAAATAGTGTCAATACACAGTACTTTATCAAAAGATACATAGTCTGCTCTATATTAAATAAAATATTATGATTATGATCATCTCAAGGTTATGATAACCATAATGTTTCAAAATTATTTCAAGGTCTAACTATCAAACATTAATCTTTTGCCAACAGATCCTAATGATGTTTTCAGAAGCTTGTAACAAATGATGCATGGTACAAATAAAAAATCTAAGTTTAGTTCAAGCTTTATGTGAAGGAAAACTTCATTTTGTTAGTTAAATGCACAATTCACAAGGGAAACAAACACATTCTCTACAGCAGAGCCTCCCATAAAATTCTTGATATGACATAACAAGATAAATCATGTACTAACGATGAGGCATTAGAGGAGAACAGTATTCATGCCAGATGACCATCCAAATTCTGGAGTGATTCTTTGAGAAGCCTTTGTGCCTCCTCTCTCCTCCTGTAAAAAGTTAGATCCAAGAAATCAATTAGTCCACAAGATTACAACACACAAGTTTTTCTTAAGAGACACAAGCTTGAAGAAATTTTGGTATCTAATGAACTAAGAATTTGATATACCTTCCAATTACCTCGGTTACCATTACATAGTGTTAATTAGTTAAACAATGCTGAAAAGTAAAATCTTAACTATGCCAGGTTGATGATCATCAAAATGTCCACAATTATATGGACTTGCCCGATTAGGTGCTCCTCCCCATTGTTTGCACTTTAATGGCATATGTTGCCAACGTCATGCATATCACAACGACAACAGAATCTCACATAGCTTAATTTTAAGAAGCTATCAGCAAGCATTGCATTAGTTAGAGAAAGGTTTCTCACGCTTATCATTTAACATAAAAAATTAGATCAGGTAATTGAGAATGTTAAATAACATCACAGCTCAGATACCACACCATTTTTTGATCTTCTTTAGGCACCTAACAACAAATAACTTGATGGTTAGATGGAAATCCTGGATGTTATGACTTAAACAATAAAACCTATCTGTTTATCTCCTATGAACTCATATTGTCTGAAGGAATATTTTAGATAAAGTTCATATCGAGTCACCAAACAGTATAGAGAGCAGTTTAGAAAATAAGTTCATAGTTCTCTCTCTCTCTCTCTCTCTCTCTCTCTCTACCTACATTTTGTAAGCAACAATGATCCCTTGTAATCTTCAACAATCAAAAGACCTCAAAGATTTTGCCATAAAGATAGAAGGGAAATTGCTTAGGTTTTCCCTTTAACACATCAAATAAATGTTATTTTATTCTCCATATGGTGTGGCAAGTATTTGCCAAATGGAAGTTATTTGAGCTTATCAAAATTAAGTTCAACAATTTGAGGTCATCAAAATTAAGGTAAACAAAATTACTTTTCAGAAAGACAACAAAGATGTCTAACCCTTGCTAACTAATGTTGGAAGCCCTCCAAAATTTTCTGGACCCAGCTATTTTTGGATTATTTATGATCAATTGGTTATGAACAAAAATAAATCAACATCCTCAGAGAGAGAGAGAGAGAGAGAGAGAGAGAGAGAGAGAGAGAGAGAGAGAGAGAGTATATCAACATTTTATGTTGAAATACAAACCTTTTGATATCCTCTATTGCTTGCTTCCTCTGTTGTATCTGACGTTCTAGAATGTGAATGAGTGTTGCTCTCGCCTAAAAGTAAAACATCAAAATAACAACACTGAGAGCATGAAGAAGATTCCATTGAGAGTGGTAAAAGAAATAATCTGAAAAAGATTTTACAGTTGAGTTTGAGCATCTAATCATGTACCTGATGAGGACGCAATGAATTCAGAAGATGATGCAAGTTCTTGAAAATAAGAGAGATGTCTTCAACTCTACGTGCGTATTGAGACGGTCTCTCAACTAGAACATCTGCTAACTCGAGAATATGCAGTTGAAGCTCTCTATTGAGGGATGTTAATTCCCGCTTGAAGTCTGAAATAAAAATAATATATCCAAGAAACTAGTACAAAATCATAAAACAACAAGTGCAGAAGAAACAGGAAAAGATTCTCATGTATAAAATGGTCACGAAAGAAATCTGACAAAAACTATGATCATGACAAAGAGGTGATACAATTATCAATTACAAGGTATCATAAAATTGCTCCACAAAATAAAGCACATCATCGAAGAAAAAAAATAGATGTGTTACCACTAGATTAAAATATGCACCATAACAAATTCCCACAACAAGATCACAGCTTTAGCTATTGCATGTGCATCCTGCCAGACACGAGAACTCCAAGTAGCACGGACATTATCTAAGCAATCTAGACTTTATCTAAGCAACCTAGACTAGCAATCAGTAAATTAACATCCTTATAACAGTTCGACAATAAAGTAGGATATGATATTTTCACATCATTAAAAAAAATATCAAGATGTTACATATGCATGTACACTATGAAGTGGCTCCACAACCTGCATATCATTTACGTCTTTTAAAACCTTGTCTTCATTCTCTATAAAGGTCAAATGGAGAATTTACAAAATAAGTCACAACGGTCAACTAATTCTAAAACTGATGCTATCTTTAGGCCCTCAACATGTGAGGTACCTTGAAATTTTAAGCTTCAGAATCAAGCTTGCTTCAAAATAAAACTTAAAGTTCCAATTTATAATGTTGAAAATTTTCAGCATTCAGTTCTTACAGCGGTGTCCATTTTTACAGAATTATTCTAGAGGAGATCAAAAGACATTAATTATTCCTAAAAGTGTATTGCAATATTTAAACACTCCAATTTGTCCATGAAAAGTTGAAATTAACAACGAAGCTTCACAAAAATCGTAGTTCCTCTATGTCGGTGGCATTATCTTTTGCTACTTGACACTGACAAATTAAACCCTTTATTTCTTCTGCTCTCAATGACACACTTAATTAGGAATTTTGTAGACATCTGTTAGTACAATTTTAATATTTAATTGCCAAAAAATAAACCCTTTCATATAAACCTATTTGATTCTTGATTTCTTTTTCCTCGGATACTAAAATGCATTTAACTGAATAGCCAATACCAACAAGAAAAAGAAAAGAGGCGTAAGTAATACCAATGGTGGGGCCTTTGGGGTAGAGCTGACGTACTCCCTGATCCTCTAAGCTCGGCAGCACCACATCCGTCTAAGATGCCACAATCGCCAAAAGAGAAGAAAAAAAAAATGTTATCATGATGGAGCTGCATTAACGGAACCCTAATACGAGGGCGAAGATGAAGGGGACAAAAGAAGAAAGAGGGAAAAGAAGATATTTACAGTGTAGGTGGCGCCGAAGAGAGGGTAAGTCCCCTGGACGGGCGGGGGAGGTTCGGGAGCAGACTCGGGATCCTCAAGATAGTCCTTGTACAGGCGATAATACGGAGGAGGTGGCGGATACGCCGACGATGTTCCTGTTGCCATCAACACCTTTCTCCCTCTACTCTTTCCCCAAGCAGTTGCTGCTCGCAATTGGGAGCTTCATCAACAATAACAAGGATATTTTGGTAACTAGGGCATCCAAGCTTCAAGGGAAAAAAAAATGAAATTTCGAACGCAATCGGAAACACACTGCCGATAATCTCTTGGGAGGATCCATTTCTGGAATAAACATATGAGGGAGAGAGAAGAAGCGATCGGCAGGGGGCGAGTAAGATCGGGGCGAGCGGGATTACCGGGCTACGACAGAGGGTGCGCCGGACTGCCGCTGTGGTGGTAGCTGCGATCGGGAACGAGATGGGGGAGAATCCGAACTGCAGCGAATGGAGGACTGAGATTTGGTGAATAGGATAACGAGTTGCTATGGACGGTCATGATCACATGCCATTTACTCGTATGAGTTACAGGGTTGCGGTGGCGTCATTATTTTAATTAGCGAAAGAAAAGCAAAAAAGAAAATTAACATATTGCGTAATAATTATTACTGATACAATCACAACTTATACAGTTGGTCTATTATCACACTGATGAAAAATAAATAATGATAATATTATTTCTTCTTAATTACATTTTTAAGATTAGGATTTGTTCATTATATCGGTCTCGAGTGAATATAATATATCATGCATGATAATATAATTTATGATTAAGATATTTTAAATATTATAATGTCACAGGAAAATCCAAAAAAATACGTCGAAATATTAGGGAGGATATAACATCGGATTCCATGTCGGAAACGGGCGTCATCAATCCGGCTTTGACCAGCGACTGGTTTTCTACCACGTATAAACCATGCCAAACCCCTGCACTGATCGTTAGCCAATCAATCTCGTCAAAGCGTCGAAAGGAGGAGAAGTGCCTCCTTTGTGTTCGAGCAAATGCTGTAGATAAGATGTTGACGGAACAAGGGGGTGAGAGCTCCGCGGACGGGGCTGGGGAAGCGGGAGCGCGTCAAGGATGATGTTTCCGCGGCTGGAAGAGCACGAGCAGTCTCCCCCTCCAATCCCATTCCTCTTGGACTTTCATCTCTCTCTACCTAAGACTTCACTCGATATTATTCCCACCTTATCTTTCTGGGATTAACCTCTCTCCATACACCCCACTCATCTCCCTCTCGGTTACCTCGTCGCCCTCGTTATTCATCTCAACGCTGCTTCTACAGGTTCCAGCTCTCTCTCTGTCTCTCTCTCTCTCTCTCTCTCTCTCTGGTTTTGTTTTGAAGATGGACATGGGGAGAACACCATGCAGCAAGAGGGTACAAGTATATTATTAGCCCATGATATGTGAAGCTGTGTAAATCTCAATTCATGCACATGATTCACATATTTGTAGGAATTATATGATCTTAGATCTCTTTTCACCCCATAGATGTGTTCTATCTTGTCTATTTTCTTCCTTACTTGTCATCCCACAGATACTCTAACCATAGGTTAAAGATCAAAGAAGTTTGTTGATAAGAACTGTTGTTATTTACTTGCTGAATTTTGGATTCCAACATGAGATAGGGTTTCACTTTTCGTATTCTTAATTCTTCTTCATTCCTAGATCAGGCCATGAACACACCAATATCCCCCTATCTTCATGGAGTTGCCTACCTACATGTAGGTGAAGAAGAATAGATGACTTTTATCTGCCTTTCAATTGCAGATTTAAGTTGTTCTATCTCCATTATTGTCATGTTGTTGTACTTCTACAGAATTCCTGTAAACACTAGTCTCCAACATTTATACAGATGAAATGAACATAATCTTTATCTTGCACTACTGTCCTCAATCATTTGTCCTAAAAATCATTGCAACATTCAATCATATATTGGGAATCAGAAGTTGACTAAGTAACAATTTTGCAGATGAAGATCTTATACCAGTCCATTAATCCAAATGGGCAACCAGCATGCCCTCTTAAAGGTTCTGCCATGGATGCCTGTCAACAACGTTTTCAAATGGGTCTGCCTCTGCATGGTGTTTCCTCCCTGAAGGCATGCCCATTAAGCTCGTTGAAGAAGGCCTCTGTCACCATTGCAGGCAGGGAATCCAGACACGGACGGCCTTCATATGCTGTATCTGATGTTGGAACCGACCCTGATGCACGCATTGACATATTCAATGGATCCACCAGTAGCATTTGCAATCTTTCTCATTCACTCATATACGAACACGAAGTTGGGCATGTCGAAAATTGCAATATGCCGGTGTGCGGCCTGGAGTTTCAGCCCTTAACTCCGAGTTTCATGCATGCTATCATGGAGGAAGAGAAGTTCAGTGTGACACAAGATGCCAGCAAAGAGGGCGATCAAAACTCTTCCAAGCCAAGTGATGTTCTTGTCATTTCTGTCTCTTCTGCTGTGAAATTGGATGATAGGCAGATCAATCTCATCTCAAGAAAGATGCAGAGGCTGACAGGGTTCAGAAAATTGAGACTGGAAAACATTGTCGATCCATCGCTGATTGCAGGCTTTGTCATTAGCTACTGTGACGATGGGTCACATATTATTGATCTGAGCGTGAAAGGTCAGTTGGCTATGCTCGCAGCAAGGCTTGAATCCTCAGATCAGAAGAGTGCTAACACAGTTGGAGATTTCCTGACAGCATGAATTGAACTGCATCAAGTAAATACTCACTAGTTAAAACCATGAACTAAGACACTAGGAAGAGGCTTGATCTTGTTCTGTTCAGATCTAAGTTTTTAGTCTAAGAGATGTGTATACTGGTAGGATGTTAACTTTTTTGTGTATTAATAGTAAATATATCAATGGAGTTTCTAATATCCATCAAATGCATGAGATTGCAACACAGACAGGATTTTCATGGGACCAAATGTGTGGAAATATGCATGTTCATTTGGTGGTAGATTTCTGCAGCCTAAAAACTCTTTGCATACACTTTTGAACCCCAATGTAAGATTGGTAGAAATTGAAGTCAATTAGATTCCTACCTACTCGATTTCCCTATCAGATAAAAGCTCTATCCTTGATTAGTTCTTAGCTTGTGATATTATCATGGTTTGATTTAAAGCACAATATCTACCGGTGGAAAATTTTGCATATTTAATTAATTTGTAATATTATGTTCTCTCTAGATAACATATTTGCTTCTTGCTTACTATCGCACTGGACTTGCTTAGATTAGTTAGTGTTGCACATCATAAATTAGGCACCTTTGTTGATCTATTAGATTATCCCATGCCTATCTGAGAAAATTAGTGTTCATAAATTTATCCTATTATAATCCCTTCCAAGGAAAAGCCCACTACAATGAAGATCAAAACATAGTGTTTTAGGCATAGTCAATGTTACAGATTTCAGCTCTGATTGATCCTAATTGACATATACCAAAAGCATCGACGATCCCATCTGTCAGAAATCTAAACTAATCATGCAAGGTATCTAGACATTGTAGACATACTATACTACGGAGCAGATGAAGGATGAAATTTAGTAGTGCACCTTATAATATGCCCACTCTTGTTGGCCACTGGAGATATTGTGACAGTCCTAGCAATGGGTGGGAAAAAAATGTTCCTAGCACAGGAGGACCTGCTGAAGAAGAGAGAAAACTTGTGTATGCTCTCAGGAGCTGTTCTCCCTTGTCATTCCCATGTCCCACCCTTCTGCAAGAACTTTTGTTCCTTGTGCAAGCCTAGCCAAGGCTGTATCAATAACACTAGGACTGGTTCTAATTGTCAAACAAAAGATACATGAACATTAATGGAACATTCATATTTTTTAAACTTCCTGTCATAGTATCTTATTAACCTAAAACCTAAAATCACAACCGCGAATACCAGATAAACATCTTAATTAGTTATTTTTGTTATGCCACTTCTTTATTTAATGCCCGATAATGTGAAGTATCCATTTGTTGAACTGACCGAATGTTGGTTCATAAATGAAATACAGAAGAGGATTGATCGACCAAATTGAATGTCAGTTGGCGCTAGAGGTGGTAATAATATGGATCTTCTGAGACAAAGGTGTCACGAAAAAACAGGCTAAACAGACAACCAAATCCTCAAAACACTCTCAAACCCTAAACCAAATGCTTCTGCTCTACTTGGCCTACACTTCATAAACCATATGATATCTTGTCTAGGTCTGGTGATCCGTACATGCTTAGTCCATTGAGAAACTAGGTAGGTCCAAATTCAATCAAATAAACTGCACGTGAATAAAATATCATTTAATCTGTTCAGAGGAGCCTTACTAGGCACACCCCTAGTACATTGCAGGAAATGTTTGAACTGAGATTGGATAGTCATCTTATGGGTTCGAATCTATGGAAGAATTTCACATCTGAGCAAGATATGGAAGAATTTTGCATCTAAGCAAATCAGCTTATGGGTTCGGTCAAGGCTCCCTGGTTGGACATCTTCTCTAGTAAGGCATCATCTTGGTCGGGCTTCTTGATCAGCTTTCTAGATCTCACTTCACTCTAGACGAACTCCTACCCAATTCCAAATGTGACAACATTAGAAAAATGAGTTGGGTTGGGTCAACTTCTCCATGATGAGTTGATGACCAAAATTAACATTGATAAATTTTTATGGTAATATTTTAATTAGAAGAAAATGGTTCACATAATAGCTTGCAAAACAAACACAATTTTCACAAAACCAAGGCATGAATAGACATTATATAGTAGATACAAATGAAACAATATGAAATTTAAGTCCTGCAAAAGGTCAATTAACGAACACATGATCAACAAGCCTGTGAGATAATTTTTACCAAGGCAGAACGCACTTCTTAGTTCCTATAAGAGGATAGCTTATTTCTTCTCCATATCAATCTTAGTTCTGTTTCTAAACTCTAAAGTAATGTTTCACAAGTAAAAGGTGCTCTTTTTGACTAGTAATAGGATCGTTTAACCCCAACAACTTCTCCCCAGACAAACATGTAGAGGGACATGATGAATCTTTAACAGGCAGCATTGTACATGTTCCAGATTTGAACTACATAGGAATTGATCTAAATTGCACAAAACAAGGATTTAGATGGGAAGGAGAAGCATACGATGGTGCCACAAATTTCCAGCAGCGCCGCCTGCCTTTCTCCCGATTTCTTATGGTACTAAGCAAAGCACGTTGAGGATCGCGTCCTTGTGACCTAAAGAGAGAAATCAAACAAGGGAAAATGTGAGAACGGAAAATTAAGAATGACTAAACATTCCCGAAAGGATTTCGTTGGCGCTGCTGCTGTAGGGAACGATGGTAGAACTCACCTAAGGGTTTGGGAAGCTCCATCACTGACCGGATGATGCCTGGTTCAGATCGTTAGCATAACGCCTTGCCGAGGGCCCGGCAGAGGCGGATCGGTGAGATGTGTTCGACGGGGACGATCACCCAGTCCCTGGAACCCTTGCTGCTGCGGTGCCGGTGGCGGTGGATGGCCGGCAAGCTTGCCGTGGTCCATCAAGAAGACTAGCCGAATAGAGATGGATCGGAATCGATGGAGAAGAATCGGGTTCGGTGGTCTTCCGATCTGGAAGCCCACCGCGGACACGTAGACGCAAAGGTGGCTGTTGTTGGACGAGCGCTTAGTTTGCCCACGCAACGAGGAGTCCAACCAAAGATTCGGGTTCCGGTGGCCCACGGGAGACGCAAGGCCGAGAGGCGTCGACCCCAACCCCGTGTGAGCCCAACGCGTGCGGGCACGTGGACAACCGTTTCCCATCACACACCACGGATAAAAGATTAAACAGCCGTTGCCAAACAGCATAATCAACCATTAAAAACTTGCCACCTCAGCATGAACCAGAGGGTCTTTCGCATCAAGACAGGAATTGGATGTCGTAGTTTGTAGCTGATCGGGTGGGCATGGCCACGTTGGATGCGATAGGAGGAAGGGGCGCCGTCCACGGAAGCAAAGCGTGGGAGATTGGGATTCGACACCGCTACCCGCCCCGGTTCTCCGATTCCGTCTCGGTTCCTCATCAGTAGTATAAAATCGTTGGTATCAAAAAAGGACCGAGAGGGTGGGTGGGATCGATCTCACCTCTCTTTCCGGCGATTCTTGATCACCGCGACATCGAAGCGCAGTTCGATTCAAGATCGACCCATGGCGTCTTCGTCCTGCGCCTTGGAGCTCCGAGCGGCGGGGTTGGCCGGTCAATTTCCGGCGGTAAGGAAGCAACGAAAGGGTTCTTCTCTCTGCCTTCTTCTGGCAGGCACCAAGTCCCGGCGGCGTGATTCTTTTCTGGAGATAAGCAGAGGCACACGAGCCACCGTGAGGGCCGCCCAAGCTGTGGGGCACGACAGGACGACGGGGCTCCCATTCTCCGCCGTTCCAACAGGACAACTAGCGCTGTCGGCTCCTGCAGCGGTGTCCATGAACAAGATGGAAGAGGGGGGGAAGGTTGTCACCCCCGAGATGCTGGATCGGTGGATGAGGGAATCAATCGGAGAGGTAGCGATCGCTCCTCGATCCCTTCTGTTTCTTTCGTTCTCCTTTTTCTTTGATTCCGCTAACCTCGTGGAACCAATCAATGTAGATTGTGCGGAACATCGGCAAGGCGCCCTTTCTCATGCACATCTTCTCCGACGGAGGCCGAGGGGGCGCCGCGCCGGCGCTGCGGCTGGAGAAGGAAGCGGCGTCGCCACAGATCTGGCGGCAGATCAAGAAGCGGTGGGACAAGGAGGGCCGCACGCCCGACGCCGTGATCCTGGTGGAGGGGCTCGAAGAGGGAGAGATGGAGGACGGCACTCGCGTTGAAGAGGCCGCGGTCGGCGTCGTCTGCCGCAGCGTCCCCCGGACGTGGGGCCTGGTGGTGCAGGGGCGGGGGATGGACTGCGTCGCGTGCTACATCCTCAACATCACCCGGGTGATGTCGTCGATGGGCTTCTGCACCCACTTCTGCCTCGTCCGTGCCAAATGCTTCGGCGAGCCGGCGGACGTGCAGCTCAGGAACGTTTGGTTGCAGGGGAGGTAGATGGCGCGCCCACTCACCGGTGGTGATCGCTGCATCGGAGCCGCCAAAGACGAAGCCTGATTTGCTTGTATTATTATTATTATTTTTATCATTCCCCTAACAAAATTCGGCAAGAAATATTATTTTTACTCATTGCTTTTATTTAGATTCAGAAATGGATTCTACTATATTTTTTAAAAAGATCTCAATATTGTTTCGTTGCGGGACCCACATGGGGCCGTCTGATTTCTCCAATCGGTACGTAGGTACACGAGGGTACATATCAGCGGGTGGAAGAATGTTTTCGGGCAACAAAGACCGCGTGTTCCGCGTTGCGCCGAGGAGTACCCATAATAGGGAAAACGGTAAGCCACGCCACCCAATACTTACCTATCTGACCATTGGCGAAAATTGGAGGCTGAGAATTGGGCCCCACAGGAGCCCAGTTGACACCGCGTTGACCTAGTTATATTTTTGTCGTGGTGGGGCCGTTTCAATGAATTAATTGCATGGCACGCCAAAATTGGAATCTCTGATGCTTCCGATGTCAAAGCTCGAAACGATTAGTCAAATCTTGAGAAGTGTGATAGTTGCATGCTATTAGATGTCACTTGTGAGGGTCATAATAATGAAAAGTATGTTAAAAGTGCATTACAGTCTTTCTATATTGTACTACAAAGGACTTCGACAAAGATCAAAATTGAAATGTGGTTCATAAATTCTGGTCATACTTTAAGGTTGTCTGTCCACAAAATCAGACCTTAAATGAATGAACAGTGGGGTCATAATTTATTGTCACATTTAAGCATTCCTACTTAGAGGGGGACGCTCTAAATAGGTTATATAACCTGATGAGAGTAATAATAATGATGGGACACGAGCTAACGTCATCTACTCCCGGGTGACGTCTCCTATGTCACATAGATCAATGAGTTAGGGGGTCGCCTGTCTCGGTCTGACCTGATAGTGCCTGGTCGAAATAAACTAAAACGCTGATCGAGGCACGTCGTCATCCTGTAGGAGTCTGGTCCTTCACGCAACGCCAATGCCGGTGTCAAACGTTATCCAATGTACGACCCTACTTCTTGCAAGAGAGCACATCAGGAAACGGTGACCTTCCCTATAAAACCCTCGTGTTCGGAATGAATGAGAGGAGAGATCAAATAAGAAAAACCCCGTGAGATTATCGATTGACTTGATCGTCGGAGGGGTCAGGCCGAACTCTCCTAACTCGACCTGTATGTGTAGGGACGAAGACGGAGTGCCTCCCATCGAATGCCTAGGCGAGGGGCCCCCTCCCGGAGAAAACAGTGACCCTGTCGCGATCAGACCACTACGGTCGGCTACCTCAGTAGTCTTAAGGGTTGTTCAGGAAAATCTCCAATCATTCAGACCTGAATCCACCCGTATTAACCCCGAGGCCACGGTGTAAAGATGTTGATACTAACACAACCAATAGTAACAATCACTATTAGAATTTTAAGAAGCTTTCATTTATTGTGATTCATGTTTAAGTCATCAACACCTGAATCTTCTTGTAGCCAATCAAATTTTGAGACCACCAAAACCATAATGAGAGAATACTTAATATAATAAGATTTTATACACCTTTCATCCTTCAAATAAGGATTTTTTATAAAAAATATATATGTATATTAGAAAAAAAAGTTGTTGATATTTTATTTTCTTAAATGTTCAAATGGTCTAATTAGTAAATCGAGCCTAATCTCTTTCATCCAAATTTTATGACTATATTGCAAGCCCAATAAATCCCACTCACTCCACGGCCTGCCATTGCATGTGTGTTTGTGTGTGTGTTTTTCCCCGTTCTTGGAATGATCACACAGTTAAAAAACATAGGGGTTTGGGGCAATCGTTTTCATGAAGCCAAATGCCTATTCTGAGACGTAAACATAAACTTGCAAGGGGAAAAGGCCACCATTGATACGGCAAGCAATGTTGTTCCTCACAAACATGTTTCGAGATGTGGATTGGCGATTGAGAGAGAGAGAGAGAAAGAGAGAATGGAATGGAGCTTAATGATTTATAATAAAAATAATTAAAATTTCAAACAATATAGTTCATAGGGCTAATTACATAATACTTCCTGTAATTAGTTATTTTAGTATTTACGTTCCTTTCCTTACGGAAGTTATATTGATATCTCTATATTTACAAAACTAAAATATTTAATTTTATTTTACCTCATATTATCAATTTTGTTGATGAAAAGATAAACTGAAGTGAGATAAAATCAACGTATTATCAGTAAATTCGATGAATTGAGGAAAAATAAAGTTAAATATTTTAATTTTATAAATATAAAGATCTTAGTATAATTTTTAAAGTATAAAAATTGGGACGTTAAAAATAACTAATTATAAGAATTAATCTATTAAGCAGTGAGATGTCGGTATGAGTTGATGGCTCAGCCGGAATGGGAGACGATTTGCTTAAGAAAGCGATGTCCTCGTTTGACACCACGCTCTCCTTTATCTGCCTCGTTTCTACTTCACCTTTCCTCGTTCAAAGCTTTGAACGGGTCAACACCTTTGACTACATATAGATTCCACATCGGCTGTCAAATTGATTCAGCGAGAAGCCTTTGCACCATGATTCCTTTCTGCCTCTGTAGTAAGATGATGTCGTTTACACACAGTGTTGTTCTCTAAGGTGGAGACTGTCGCATCCATTTGGTGAGGTAGAGGAGCGTCAGCATCATTGCAGGAGAAGAAGTCTGTCATAGTCCCAGAAGAATGTAGTATAGCAAGGTGATCGGAAGAGCTATCAGCATCCCAAATATAACCCTGCAGATTTCACAGCATGATTAGTGGATACTTGTTGACGAAGAGAGGATCTCTTCGGTCTGGGTTGAGTGCTTACGCTGTGCTGAGGATGGCAGGGTGGAGGTTGTACTCCTTGGCGAAGACGAAGGGCACGATGCCCTGCGGCAGCGCCGCCTACCCAAACAAAAGCATTGCGAGTCCGTTAGTTACTGCGTCAAAAGATCAAACACAAGGTGTGCAAGAAAGATAGACACGACGACGACGGCAGCGGCGAATCGACCGACACCGTAGTCTCCGTCTGTTCCCTTTCCGTCACCATCGAATCAGAAGGTGGAAAAGCAGAGCGCAGAACCTGCACGATGGCGACGTGGAGGAGGGTCCCACGCAGGCCGACGGCGACGGACGACACGGCCATCGTCGCGGGTCCGGCCACGAACCGGATCACCATGGCGAGCGCGGCCACCCTGTTCCCGCACGCTATTATCCTCGGCTGCAGCGCCATGAACAGCCCTGTCGATGATTCCACAGCGCTCAACTGTTAGCCAAAAGAAGGATCACCGGCTACTGCTGTAGAAATAGAATTGGCGGTCTTTGGGAACTCGCCTAAGCTAAACATGGCCATCCCGAGGCCCGCGTCGGAGAGTATGGAGATGGACTTCTCTACAACCTTCGGCATGGTAATGTTCCACCTGCACGCCAAGATTAACGATACCATCGTCATCATCATCATCATCATCGACTACATGCTTGGTGGTGGTACGCACCGGAAGGCGACGAGGGACCAGAGGAGGCCGACGAGGCTGGAGCAGGTGTTGGGATTGCGGACCAGCTTACGCCACACCATGATCAGGATCAGACGGGTCATGACGCCCGCGGGGGGCATCTGGTGTGGCCCTCCGTCGCTATCGGACGGCCCTCCTCCTTCTCCTCCTCCCGCGCCCTTGTAGTTGGCCGCCTCCTCCTCGTCGAAGCCTACAAGCAACAATACAGACATGATTAGGAGGTGGATGTGATAAGAATAATGTCATATTAGTAGTTCAACCTTTGGTGGTGAGGCCGTTAAAGGGCACGTCGGCTGGCACCACCACCGGAATCTCCTTTGCCCCGTGATCGACGTGGTCCGACACCGGCGACGGGCTCGAGCTCCACACGAACATGTGCAGCTCCTTCGCGTCCGCTGCCGCCTTTACCGTCGTTGCTCCCACCCCTGCTCGGTGGTTGTGATGGTAGCTGGGTTGCGGATGGGGCGGCTTCTTCGCCGCGGCTGGGACCTCCGTGGCGTAGTGGTCGTTGTCTAAGCTGGAGTGTAGGGAGTAGATGTCGGCGGGGCCGAAGCTCGACGAGCGGAATGGCGGTGTCGGGGAGGGAAACTCGGCGTTGTTGCAGTTGGATCCCCTGGGGGTGGTGTTCCGGGAAGAGCTGAGGGAGTGGATCTCAACGCCGGTAAGGTTGGACGGCCGGGGGGTCGTCACGGTCGACCTCCTGGACGACGTTGACTTGCGGACGGTGACGTAAATCTTGCCGTCGCCGTTGAATTCTGCAGCGGTCTCGGCAGCCCCGGCGTCGAGCGAGTCGACATCGTGGTCGACACGGAAGGAGACGATGGAGGCGGCGGTGTCGGGGAACTGGTCGGCGACGAGGAGGCGAGCGGCGCGGTACTCGAAGAGGAAGAGCATGAGGGTGTACCAGATGATGCACTGCAAGACGACGACCTGGACCATGAGGGAGCCGGAATAGGGCCCGTACATGGCGACGAGCAGGGGGATGCCAATCACCAGCGTGTTGGGGAGGGTGGAGAGAGAGAAAGCGGTGATGGACAAGTCGAGGGATGAAACGCCGCCAGGGAACGGGCGTCGGCGGAGGAGTTTGGACCAGACGGCCAGGGCCGCGAGGACGAGCAGCTTCTGCAGGGTGTCGGCGACGACGAAGCGGAGGTTCATGGCGTAGGGGTCGTTGGTGGAGATGAAGTGGAACGAGAGCAGAGGCACGGCGAAGACGGCCACGAATCGGTTGATGCCAGCGCACTGCTCCGGCGAGAAGATCCCCCACCACCGCACCGACCCGTACGCCAGCACCATCGCCACGTACAGCGGCACCACCGCCACCAGCACCGTGTTCAGGTCGTGCCACGAGATCATTTCTCTGGCTAGCGCTCGCTGCTCAGTTACAGTCTCTCTCTCTCTCGGAGATAAAACACACCCAAAGAAGTGGTGGAGGGGAACGGAGGAGGAGGAGAGTGTGCAATCTATGGATGTCTTCAGACTTCGAGTTGAGGTATTTATAGACATGCAACACAGAGTTATGCTGATCAGAGCATCTTTACCTTTTTGATAAAGATTTTTAATGAAAATATATGTTTTATTACATACTTCACAACAAATATATATATATATATATATATATATATATATATATATATATATATATATATATATAGAAGAACAAATTATACGTTTATTTAAGTTAATCTAAACTCAATGTTAAATCGGCTTAAACATTCTTTCATATTAGTTCCAAAGAATTTTTTTCATGTTCTCAGATATATGAAATGGGATGTTATTGGAACAACGAATCATTAATATTTAGGATATCTTCTTTTTGTATTATATTCCTTCCATACCTGAATTTGTTGTCCTGTTCATACTTCAATCTACTTTAAGCATAATATGGAACATATATTTTGTCAAAAGCTCCTATCAGTCTCCATCACTCATAGTTTCAGGCATTGTTTACTAGTCTCTTTAAAGTGTTTGCTCTCTCTTAATTAAAAAGAGTATATTTCATCCTTCTTTATTATAATATAGAATATTTCTTTCACTTTTCTGTAGTAGAACATATAGAATTAATTAATGATATTTTTATTGAACCCTTATAGTTCAACATTAAGGAGAATTTTCATGATAATAGAAGCATGGATTAAAATAAGAACCAAATCCAACTCTGTTGCTTTATTTTAGGCTTTCTCTTACCTAATAATCTTTGCTTCAGAATTAAGACTTTATATGAATAATGAAGCAACTGGTTTAATTGGTTGGAATAAAATTCAATCAATCAACTGTTTTGAATTTACTATGCTTAATCAAGTTGATCTCAATGAACTGCTTTGAACTTGCAATATAAGATCAATGATTCCACACTATGACCTCTTTATGTCAGTATTCTGATCTAACCACATACACAGAGAGAGCTTCAACTTGATCTAAATGAACTCTTCACGACTTTCAGTATTTAATGAATGATTCCACAAAATGAACTCTTTTGAACATACACTTATATTTGTCAGTATTTAACCAAATCCACTGAACAGAAAGATCTGAATAAATTCTTTATTCAGATTCTTATCTCAAAAAGAAAGAAGAGCTATTCAAGTTGATTTCAGTGAAATCAGTATTTGAACATGCAGTATCAGCATTGCACCAGTCAAACTGCGAGACTACATGAATGATGATGAGCAGCAACTCGCTCTCCTTCTGTTAAGTTTTATCATGAGCAGATCACTCATTCAAAGGTCTTCACCATCACGGTGGGCAGCTTGATGGATGGAATCAGAAACACGGTCAAAATTCATTGATCTTGTTCTTCCTCACTTTTTTGCTCCCTTTCTGTGCTTCATTCTAGGATTCGGTAGGCCATCTACAGCGACAAGCGTTGAACACCACTCACACCATAGCCGATCCTTGTTGTCTGTCATCGACAATAAAAAATGTTAACACTTCTGCATGATTCTAATTAAAACCATAAGTACATCTGTCCATATTACTGCTTGGGTGTTCTTGGTCCAGATGCAGGAGCTTCTCTGACTCCAATGAGTTTGGGATAAGAGTCAAAAGAATTGAACAGGTCTCAAGGAAGGAATCCACACTTCACCTTTCCCTCTACCTTTAACTTTCAAGTGGGTTGGGCAGAATAAGAACCTGTTGCCTCTAGATTTTGGCTGTGGATTCCAAAACCAAGAATAGATTCCATATTGAACATTGAAAAGGATGCAAACAACGTGAACATTGACATTGTAAGTCCTTGTTCATTACTGTGATTTGCTTAAAGAACTTCAAGACATAAAAATCGATCCCCAAGACCCATCATCTACAAAATCGTTTGGAAAACAAAGGTAGCCTGAGCTCCAGTGAGATTGATATTAATATGAAATCTAGCTGTTAGGAAGCATGCAGAAGCAAGATATAAAGTACACCAAGTCCAAACTAAACTGATCAAAACTAGCATACATGCTAATCAGACACTATTATAATTTCTACATCATATGGGATTATTCTTATAACTCAATATTCATCTCACATATAAATATATTTCTGTTGTCCCTCTAAAATCATCATTTTCTGCATGCTTTAGTTATATAATCTTATTCATAATTTTGTTGACTGATGTTACTCTCTAAAGTTTGATGGTAGCTATCGTTTACTGAATTCCATATTATTAATGTATAATAAAATTTATTCCAAATTTATTCTTACTGTGCTTGAACAGGGCATATTACAAGGCACAAGGAAGTCACATAGAACCCATTATAATGAAGTGAAAGTAAATGATATGCTTATTTGTCCAACTTGAGTTATAGATGAGCTAAAACCTATATAATATTTCTTGGGGTGGCATTCGACTCTCAAGCATCTGCAGTGGTTTTATAGTACTGTAAGCTGCTGATAAAACATGTTTGGTATTGCAATACCATTATATTGGTTCAAGCATATACTACAGAAGCCTTCAAGGCTTTAAGAACAGGATCCATGAAACTTCCTTCCATGAAGTCACCACAAATTGTTATTGAAAGAACTAAAAACAAGAACTACATTTTATCTGACACTTCAGAAACATGGAAAAAACATATGATACTAAATGGAAATCCTAGCTATCTAAGTAATGTTTGCCTGGATACATCTTTAACCAACCAGATCTGCCTGAGCTGCACCTAGTAGATCACAAATTTTGTGTTCTTGTGATGAACAGGGGACACATGCTTCCTACTACGTCACCGAGCGGAAGTAAACCAAAGAAACATTATTCCAAAAATGGTGGCTAAGATGAGAGAAAACTATCTTCTTATGAGAAAACAAATTTTGAGTTAAGGTGTTCTCCATCAGAACTAACCATGGTACTGGTGCTGCTCTCCTTGTGCTTCGCAGGGATTAAAGTGAAGACAACAAGCCCACAGTGGATGGCGAGAGTGAGGCCAAGAACATTGATGAGGGTGAACTCCAAGGAGGACCCTGGGATGCCATGTTTGGTGTGAAGGAAGGCCATCTTCTCCATGAGGCCAGACTCTGCCGTAGCTACAGCCAAACTGTAGGTGAAGATGCCAATGAAGATGTGCCACGGCAGCAACAATGTTCTTGCCCGTCGTCCCTCTCCCCTGGTCCAGAAGCTGAGGAACCCCATTGTCCACTGGCAGAAGCAACACAAAGAGATGGAGTCTTACAATAGTTGGTCGTCGAAATGCATGCTTGCAAACCAAACCAAAATATTAAGTAATTAGGTTTAGTATCTAATGCTTCTTACAAGCAGGTTGAACATTATCAAAAATAAGTTCAATAGACCAAATCAAACTTCATGTTAGATTTTTCACCCCTTTAAACCTGAGAATTAGTAGTAAGGCTTGAATTCAGCTTAATTACTTTTGGATTGTTTTCTTGAAATTCTTTTACTTTGTCTTGAAAGAACACAATGGTCATAGAAGCTACAAGTTAAGAATAGACAGAACAATTTCAATCAGCAAAACTGCACTTTCAGAAAACTTAATCTCCATCAATCAAGCTTTGATTTGGCAATAATACCCTCTTGCTGATGGCATTTTGCTATTTTGAATCTTGGTAATCCATGATTAATAGTATGGACATTGATGGGAGAAGAACAAGTGACAATCTTGATATTTTGAGGAACATACATACTAACTTGAGGATTGTAAAGGGAAAAATGTTAAATTCTATGTTATTGCAAGGATAGACATGCAAAACACCTTAAAGTTAGAACAATTCTATGTTAGATTCTATGTTATTTCTGGGGGCATGCATAGTGAGGGATTCGATGAACATCTAGAAGGCATTCTAGATGGATGTCTGCCAACCAGATATGACCCAGTAGCAGGGGCCATCAAGTAGTGGATTACGATCGGATGTCCACCGTACCGGAGGCCGGAGGTGCAGTAGCGAGGAAGACGGAAGGAAAGCGCGTGACAGGAAGAGAGAGAGAGAAGGATGGACCTGGGCGGCGAAGAGGAGAAGGCAGAGCAGACCCATCCAGGAGTGCAGGCTGTGGAAGTTGGCGAGGACCCCCTTGTTGCCCTTGAACTTGGTCCACACCCCGGCGACGCCGAAACCCAGAGCCGCCCCCTGCAGCCAGAGGTGCGCTGCCTTCCTCGGGCCCCGTGCCCAACCCAAGCCCACCCCCCACCTGTGCGCCAGTATACCTGCCAAGCGACCAACCACATTAACCATCTCCTCCCCATCCAAAGGCTACAGGGGATTGCGCCGGTTACCTTCGCCGCCGAAGAGGATGAAGCCGATGACCATGAGGAGAGTGTGGAGGACCTGAGGCAAAGCAGAGCAGGGAAGCGAGAGTGAGGGCGCTTCGATCCTTGCTCAAGGAGGGAGAAAGGGAGAAGAAGATGGTGCATTTACAAAGTATATGTGGTCGAAGGGCGCAACGGCGGTGGCGGTGGCGGTGGCGCCGCCGTCGACGGATGAGGAATAGAAGCGCAGAAAGATGGTGGTGCGGAAGGCGAGCGCCCACAGGAGGACGAGAACTGCCACCAGCAGAGCCGAGATGTGAGAGAGAACAATGCTCACGGCCATTTCGACCCTCTCTCTCTCTCTCTCTGCACTCCTTTAGATCTGCACAACCAAACCGATGCCCTATAAATTACTATATCGCTTTGAGCCTAATATAAATTATAAATAGGATTATTTGACTAGGCCAAGCAAAAAAAAAGATCAACTTGATCTCCTGACTTAATTATGTCAGGAGATCAAGTTGATCTTTTTTTAGGACAAGCAAAAAAGATCGATCATGGTGTTGATCTTTTAGCATCAAATTATTATTATTAAATTTAATTATCAATCCATATTATATATTGAATCAAATTAATCTTAACTCACTTTCTGAAAGTTATTGTGGCTTCGATCTTCAAGGAGGTATAGAAACACATATCTCTTTATGTCTCATGATATTGACCTTATTGATTCTCTACGTATATCTCTTCCGATGAGGATAACAATGGCGACAAGACTCGGGCTGACGTCAGCTGCCTCATATGACGCCTCACGCCTTGATCAACTCGATAGCACCTGGTCAAATGGACCGGAACGCTGGCCGAGGCGCATTAACGTCCTACTCAGGCCCAATTCTTCACGTCATGCCAACACCGCTGTCAGACGTGCCGGGAGTACGATCCCGCTCCCTGCAAAACAGGCACACCAAACACGGTAAGTCACCCTATAAAAACCTCGCTCCTAAGGGGGAGAGGGACAAAAAAAAAGAACATCTTCACTCCATTTGACTTGATCGTCGAAAGGGTCGGGCCGAACTTCGACCCGACCTGTGTGCAGGTACGGAGACGAAGCTACTTCCCCCCAACGCCGAGGAGAGGAATCCTTCCCTACGAGACGTCCCGACAAGCCCTGACGTGATCTGATCCGCGCGACAGCCCACATCAGCGACCCCGAGAAACCTTGAGCAAGATCATCATTAGTTTTATATCATAAAAGGATAAAAGAAAAAAATTGTCTAAGTTTTATATCATAAAAGGATAAAGAAAAAAAATTTTATATCATCATTAGTTGGCGGCAGTCGATGCATCGATGAAAGGCGTGACGGAGTCTTTATTTGTTTTCCTTTGTGTAAGCCTTTGGGTTGGGAGGAATACTTTGATGTGCTCTATGGTTTGATCCAACTCGATCGAAAGTAAATCTAACCAAACTCACCCGTAGATTCAAGAAAGACTCGAGAAATATCACTAGAATTGTTTTTTATCAATATCAATGCTTCTAGAAGCTTAAGCTAATGCCATTGATGAGATAAATTATCATAAATATATGTTCATAAATATGATTTGGATAAGTTTGGAATATAACACCTTCAATTCTAATGTCATCAAAATATCTTCAACGATTTAGCGATGGACGATACATGAATAGGTTTTGTTTTACGATCCAAATTATTTCTTCTAAATCCTTAGCCATAAATCATAGACTAATCAAGAAAAATAGTAAACGAAGCGTACATAACTATTATAAAATTAATCTTTATCGAGACATCCTATTGATTAGTGCACAAATGCATAATTACATTGATTAATGTAATAAAAACATATAGCACTCTTGTAAAAGCACTTAAGTATCTTTATATAAATATCTTAGGCTCGAGTCATAAATTATAGATTAATCAGGAAAAATAATTAAAAAAAAATTATAGATAATAATTACTATAAAATTAATCTCTATCGGAACGAAGTTCGGATCATCTTATACGTCGATTATATAATATAATATAATATAATTTTTTTTAGTTTTTGGGGAACGATCGCTAAAAAAAAAAACCATATCTTAGATAAGATAAACTGCTTAATACAACCGCATAGATTTAATATAAAATCAATGGCCATTAATGAGTGTGTTACATTTTAAATCAAACCATATAAAGTTGTAATCAAATTCTGACACTAGAGATACACTCAAATCAAATTTAAAGTTCAATTCAATAGTAGTAGAAGATGCAGAATGCAACTATCTTACTACCACCAATGTGAAGGCAAACCTCAGTTGTCATAAAGTTGTAGGAACTTATTCTCTTCCCAACTAACCATCACAGACAGTCTATGAGAGTTGCATCTAATTCCCATCTCAGTAGCTACTGACACATTGTAATTATTCCCCATCAACATGCTACCATTATTCAGGCCAACTGTGTTCCTCCACAGTTTGCATCCGATTCCATATTCCATCTTTCTGGAATCCAAGACTCTTGCTATAAATACCTCAAGCCATGGGGTTGATCTTCTCAAGCTAAGCTAAGCACCAAACTCCACTCGGTAGGTAGCTTCGTCTCCTGTGAGAAGGAAGAATGGCGTCACTGAAGGCTGCGAGACCTGCTGGGATTACGGCGCCGAGCAAAGAGCCGGCCAAGGTCGGAGAGGGCCCCGTGAAGCCGCCGGCGGCGTCGAGGCAGGCACCGAAAAAACCCGAGAAGCCCCGCGAGCCCAAGAAGAAGGTATCCATGTCATTGCACCAGAGAGAATCTTATAATTTATGTTAATTCTGAAAGAGAATTCCCAGTGATATCCTTCTCCTACAGGCAAGGAGTGGCAAACCGAGCACCAAAAACTGATGATGGATGGCAGCAACAACAACAACAAAAGTGTGTTTTATCTTCAGATTTCAGCGTTTGTGTTCTATCACTGTACTCTGGATGTTGCTGCTGTCGTGGTGTGAGCTTGTGATGTGAACTGGTTGAAGTATGCTTTGATGTTGTGCTCAGCCATGCAAGAAAGTAATGTAGAATCATCACCATGGTATGATGAAATAAACTGCTAATTTACTGCACACTTTGGGATTTCTTTTCTTGTTCTGAGATACCCTAACTGATATTTCATATTATATAATATATATATATATATATTTTTTTTCTTGGCATTCAAATTTTTGTGAAAATATTAAAGTTATTTTTTATAATTATTTTTATTTGAGATATCTTTTCAACTCAGTAGTAATGATAGTGTGTTTATATTTTTTATATTTAAAAGATATAAAATTTTTTGATGAAATATGTTGAGATGATATCCATCAAACAAAATGTTGTCGGCAAAACTAAGTCAAACCACCGCGTTCGCTAACCACTCTGTCCCTCTGTCCATCTTTTGGAAAAGAAGAGAACCTACGTGCGCAACGGCCACCGCCCACCACCTCAAACCTCTCGCAGCCGCTCAATCGAACAGCCACCGCTCCTCTCCTCTCCTCTCCTCCTCTTGCCACCATCAGCAACACCACATCGACCATCGGCATTGAGGTCGTCGGAGGTGATCGAGATCGATGGGTGGCGGCCGGCTGCAGGGCGAGCAGTTGAAGCAACTGCGCAACATATTCGATCGCTTCGACATGGACGGGGACGGCAGCCTGACCCAGCTGGAGCTCGCTGCCCTCCTCCGCTCCCTCGGCCTCAAGCCCGACGGCGACCAGATCCACGCGATGCTCGCAGGCATGGACGCCAACGGCAACGGCACCGTGGAGTTCGACGAGCTCGCGGCGGCGCTCGCGCCCGTCATGACCGAGCAGGCCATGGTCGACCAGAAGCAGCTCCTGGAGGTCTTCCGCTGCTTCGACCGGGACGGCAACGGGTTCATATCGGCGGCGGAGCTGGCGCGGTCCATGGCGCGCATGGGCCAGCCTCTGACCTTCGTCGAGCTGACCGACATGATGCAGCAGGCCGATGCCGACGGCGACGGTGTCATCAGCTTCGAAGAGTTCGCCGCCGTCATGGCCAAGTCCGCCGCCGAATTCCTCGGCCTCACCCTCGTCTCCCATTGATGGCTGTTGATACTGTTACCATTACTATTTCTTTTGGTTTTGGTAGCAGTGGATTGGAGTGGAGATCAATAAATGTACAGAAGCAGAAGATGATATAATGGAGTTAGGATCACGTACAAAGCAGTCGATGAATCCATACTTCTCATTCATCGTTCCGCATGTGTGTAATGATCATTGCAGGGGCTTTGCTTTGATGTTTCACTGAACACTACCTTTGATTTCTCTTTTATTTAGCTTCCCAATAATAATTCGGCATGGATTTGATCAGGTTCTTCTGACAATGATAACAGGATCTCATGTATAGAACAAGACGAAGCTGATTTGCATGTGAGCCACAGGGTTTTGACAATCGAATCACTAGAACACGAAAAAGAAATCAGTAGAGATTTAATGCAGTATGAACTCAAATTAATTAAAAGGGCGTGTGTATTTACTCCCATTGATCACAAGACCCAGAAATTTACGGAATGGATTCAGGAAGATTGCCAACTTCCTGCAATTGGCTGTGGCACAAACCGTAAGAATCCATAGAAGGCACCTTAGCCAAATCATTAAAGTCGAATTCCAATTTATCAGAGTGGTTTTCTGTCAGAACAGCGCTATCATCCACTGACAAAAAACATGACGTTCAGAATTTGTGAGGGCACAATATTGCAAGCTGCCTTCACATTCTCTTCCTATCCATTTCGTTCTCTTCTTCCCTCTACCTAAACCACCATCTCTGGACTGCAGAGATGGGGCTGTTCAAGAAGGGGGTGTAACGGTAGATGTATGGATTCACGGCACGACCAATCCTGGCCCAAACGCTCTGGTGATAACCAGCAGTAACTGGAGCATGGTACATGAGCTTCAGGAGCTGCATCAACAATGGAGAAGAGAAAAATTAATAAAATTAAAGAACACAACCAAATAGGCTAGCTAGGAGATCTAGATGGCTTCCACCCAAAAAAAATGGATACAATGGGCAAAGATCTCTCGTATGATTCACTGTGGAAGTTCCAGTAAGAGGTGAAAGTGAGATGGACAATATCGGTATGAATCCTCTTCGTACATAAGCAGAGCCAGCCATATGTTTAAACATCTCAACATACTAAATTTATCTCTATTAACCTATCAAAACTTATTATTTAATTGGTTTTTTATGTCACGATAGTCCATCTTTCTCCCACACTTCCTTTTCTTTTCACATATACTATTGATTTGAAACATTATCATGCTTATTTATATATATTAGCCTTGATTCATATAATATATACATTATATCCACCCTACAATCTGATTCAAATCTGTATCCATCATATATCCAGTATGAATTAGTAGCCATAATATGCACATATGATTGTAGAATTTGGCATCTGTTATCTAAATCTGCATCTGCTAATTAAAAAAGGATCTGAATATGGTTTCTCCAATATCAGATCAGTTCTCACTAGTTCTAGTGGAGAATTATCTAAGCCTATCTATTATAGTCAGGCTGATGCCTAATTGTTTATTGCTATCATGGACCTGTTTTTCTGTAAGCCAGAATACAATCCACATCATAAGTTTTAAGTCTCCTGGTTGTTCAACATGTCAAGGGTGTTAACATCGAAGCCACCAACAAATAATGATGAAAATTTTGATACTGCTTCTGTTTTAAAAAAAAAGGAGCTAACCTGCCAGTATATGAACGTTTGGATAATGTTGCGTTGCAGCCTGCATCAACAAAACCAGAAGTTCTATAGATCAGGATCTGAAAATTAGGAAAACAGCAAAAACAGAATAATATAAATTGACTGACGAGAATAGAGATATGATGAGAAGAAAGCCCAGAGCAATCTCAGCATTTGAACTTAGGATGTTTAATGTAGTTCCATTTGCCTCCACCCATATACAAGGCTCCTCTAAGTATTTCCTGTTCATGAAATGAGTAACCATTATTTTAGTTAATTTTTGTCATCATATATTCTTGAGCAAATAAAGCACTACAGAAAGCTCAATTAACAAATAAAGCAACCCAATATGTTATATAGATATCAACAAGTTTTGTCATATGGTCATACTAAATCAGAACTAATCAGATGATAACAGGCATCAAGTATTATTCCCATCTCTTCTCGTGATATTTTTATCTTTCCTTACATTCTATCAACTGATACCAGAAACAGATAGGTCCCTTCGGTAGGGAGCCAAATTTAAGACATGAAATTTTAGTCAATAAAATAAAATTTACCTTAAAAAACATACTTTTGCTTAGAAACCAAAGCAACCACAAGGGAATATCTAAGCGGCTAGTAACATTCTGCATTTTTTGGGTTTCTACATATCAAAATATCTTAAATTTGCAACATAATGTCATAGATTCAGGAAAATCACGACCACCAGCCAACATACATGAGATTGTCTGCTGTACTAGAAAACTTCACATCAATAATGAGAAATTTGTTCATCAAGGTTCTGGGCTCGAATCCCGCCTTTGTCGTTTACCCTTTGTACCAAAAAAAAAAGGTACAAGTGAACTGAATCACACTTGTCAGGGTCGATGTAGACTAGATCACCTTTGAAACTACAAAGTGATGTCATCTTTGACATTACTGATGACATTACTGATTAATGGGCTTCGGAATAGCAGAGTCCTAGTTATTTTGATGATGACCATAATTCCCAAAACATTCTTTACCTACAGATCATCTTCTATGCAACTTAGACATTTTTTCTCCAAAACATCTATATGCTTGCAAGTAAACCATTCCTAGAACCAAGGCTCATAATTTTGTATTGTACCGACGTATCGAGCTTTGCTCGGTATGGTATGGTACGAGCGTACTGAGAGATATACCAAGGTGTACTGCTTGGTATATATATAAAATATTAAAATATAAAATCAATATATATAAATAATATATAAAAAAAGGAGGCGCATGTTGCCTCGGCAACATCGTCTCCTTTTCTTGTCCTCGTCACATTAGACAAGGAGAAGAACATAGTCTTATCCTCATCTACGGCATTCGACGAAGATGTCGAAGGCCGCAAACATCTCGGCCTTCGACGAAGAAGAAGCCGAGCCACCGCCTCTCCGTTACGTCCTAGATTGGGATCGTCGAGGGAGGGCGATGCCGGATCGAGAAGCGTCGAGGTTCTTCTGATTCTCCCTCTTCTGCCTCAACACTTTTTCTTCCCTCGCTATAGCCAGGCTGGTATCGCTCAGTAGCAAGCGACAACAATCGAAATCGATCGTTACCACCCGAAACAGCCCCGTATTGTTTGATACGGAGCTAGATCAACGGTACCGCCCAATAGCGGGCGGTCCACATATTGGTTTGCTGGCGAACTGATACGTATCGCCCGTATCATTCAAAATTAAAATCCTTGCCTAGAACACTCCTAAACACAAAACTACTATGAAAGTGAAAATTCTTCGAGATGAATGTTGCAGGCTCCCATTTAAAATTTTATTTGTGAGTGATCAGAATTAATCTCATGTGTTATACAGCTTTTACAAACTTTAGAGATTGAATTTGTTGGCAAAGAAAATATTGAAATTCCATGCCTTTTAATTTTCTTAGTTACTTTTCCGATGATAACTGAAAATAGCTGACTGTACACATAGTTCTGCGACAGCATACTTGGCAGGTCTCAATACTTCGCATACGTATTTGAAATTAATTTAGAACAATGGGCTCAATAAGTCAATATTTATTTTAGGTGGAACATATACCCTCCTATGCATTTCTAATAAGCCATGCCGACCAGCATGGGTCAGCACAAGTACCATAGAGCACAGAAAGGTATCAGCAGGCATCATGCCAATCCATTTAGTCATAGATTTAATGCATGGCCAAAGTTGCATCACGAAAGAGGTTATTGTTCTCTTCCTGCCAAACAAACAAAAAACAGTTGAAGCTTTAGATAATTTTGCTAAAAAGAAAGAAGGAAATAAGCAACTTGTCCCATCAATGTCAAAGGCCAACATAATTGCCTGCAAGAACCAAATAGAAAGTTGAAAAAAAAAAAAGCATATCATGACAAACTTCTTTGGGTGACATTGACTGCTCAGTCTCACAGTAAACTATGACAAACTGAGCCCAAGTGTGCACATGACAATGCTGCTCTTTATCATAATTTTAAAAATTGGCTGCCTCAATCTTAGATCGACCATAGCCAACTAAAAATCCCAATAAAATTTTATTAGTCAGCACTAAGCAGAATATAATACATATTAGCATGCAAGATGATCTACATATCACGTAGTAGCAAATATAATAACATAATACAATAGAAAGCAATAATGTATACAAAAAGATTGCAGGTAAATAACTAATAGGAGTCATAAAATACAAATATATAATGATAAAATAAATCATAGCACATATAAAAGCATAAACTAATGCATATATGTAACTGAAACTTACATCATCAAAATTACAACATATTAAAAAAATAACTTCAGACTTCAAATTTAATTGTTTATTATGAAATAATAAAAAATTAAAAATCAGTGTTAAATATTAAAATTTTGCCAAAATCTGATCCTGAAATCTGTCTCTTCCAATTTGACCAATCCAACGAGAACCCAGTTTTAGCTTAAATAGCTTATCATGTTTCCAATTCTGATTTTTAGAACAATTCTGTTAAAAATCAAGAATAGGTCATTTCAAGAATGCAAAATTTTGTCACGAAGTTTTCTAAATCTGTTTCTGGTATAAACTGTTTTGTTTCTAATGAGAAATCATTCCATCAAAATTAAGCTCATTACCTGTATAAAGTTGAACGTGCAAAATTACGCCTTAGAAATCTGGCCACATGATCAACAGCCCAACAAAACACAGGTATGAGAGCAACTGTCATTTGAAAAGCCATCAACAAGTATTAGTAAATAATGAGTATTACGGAGTTCTAGGAATTGACAAGTTAAAGGGACAAATTATTTGAAACAACTCACACTTCAAGTGTAGCTTAGATGTAATAAGTGTAATACAATATATGAAATGGATAAAATCCTTCGCTCCAATAATCGTCTGTAACCATGTCTGAATAGAAGGCAGGTTCCATGCCCTTGGTTTCTGTAGAGAAAAAATAAATAAATCATATATACACAATGGTTATGTGAAATTACCCTGCCCAACTAATATAACAGAAATAAAACTACATAACGCAGAGCTTTTAGTTGTAATTACTATTATACCAAACTCACCCCATAGACTGTGTATAGTGAACAAACTGAGGAACATGCAGTACCCAGCAATGACA